GCATACCACCACGAAGGCGGAGAACCAAATGGAGGGTAGACTCCTTTTGGATATATAATCGCCAGAGTTCTTCCATCTTCAAGCTGTTTTCCTGCAAAATCAATCTTTGTTGATCTGGTGGGATTCCTTCTTTGTCCTGAATTTTGGCTTTCACATTATCAATGGTCTGAACTCTCAACTCCAAGGTGTCTTTCCAGTGAGAGTCTTGACAAATATTTGCATACAACCTCGAAGGCGGAGCACTAGGTGGAGGGTAGATTCCTTTTGAATGTTGTAATCAGCTAGGGTACGGCCATCTTCCAGCTGTTTTCCAGCAAAAAAGCCTTTGCTGATCAGGTGGGATCCTTTCCTAGTCTTGAATCTTTGCCTTTACGTTGTCGATGGTGTCAGAACTCTCAACCTCGAGGGTAATAGTCTTCCCAGTCAGGGTTTTGACAAAGATTTGCATAACCACCACGAAGACGAAGCACTAGGTGGAGGGTGGACTCCTTCTGGATGTTATAGTCAGCCAATGTACGGCCATCTTCAAGCTGCTTTCCGGCAAGATAAGCCTCTGTTGGTCTGGACGTATTCCTTATTTATCTTGGATCTTAGCCTTGACATTATCAATAGTGTCCGAGCTTTCAACCTCCAAGGTAATTGTCTTTCCGGTGAGAGTCTTACAAAGATTTGCATGCCACCACGAAGTCGAAGAACCAAGTGAAGAGTGGATTCCTTCTGGATGTTATAGTCAGCTAGTGTACTACCATCTTCAAGTTATTTGCCAGCAAAGATGAGCCTTTGCTGATCTGGTGGGATCCCTTCCTTGTCTTGGATCTTAGACTTGACATTATCAATAGTGTCAGAGCTTTCAACCTCCAAGGTAATTGTCTTTCAGGTGAGAGTTTTGACAAATATTCGTGAGAAAACTTTAATCACTGACGTAATTTGATTCGTGCATACATTCAAAATTTCTAAAAACATCAACTAAGTCTCATATTATTATTCACGTATAAAGCGTGATTTCATTATTTTAGACTATCATACCTGCATAGTTAATTGTTATATCAATATCATAAGAATTAATTACAGTTTTTAATCAGTCAAAATGTAACTTTGATGCTATTTTAAAGTTGAATAATAATATGATATAATTCAAAACAAGAGGTAGCGTTGATAATGTTGATCAAGCATGAGGACAAAAATATTCCTTAAGCCACTAATAAATGATTAAAAATAAGGGATAGATTTAAAATTTTAATATCTCATAAGATAATTTTTTAAATAAACATATTTTAAATTTTATATATTTTCATAAAACATATACAGTTATTATAATTTTTTAACAAAATCTTTTATATTTTGTTATCATAATCTAAATCTAAACTAATATATTTATAAATTATAATATTAAATTTTTTAAAAATCTAGCGTAAGTATAAGTAATATATGTTTAAAAATAACTTTCAACCATTTGACATTTAGCGCTCACACCCTTAACATTCATCGTGCTTAATATCGAAACCTTAAGGAATAATATCAATTTATTTACCACCAAAATCAATTGATTATTGCTAATATATAATTATTTATTTTTATAAATGTTTTTAATAATATTATTAAATATTTAAATTTTAAAATAACTTAAAAATATAGATATTTTTATACACATGATCCTCGTTCACAGATCTCAAATTCAGGGCACAGAAAGCCCAGAACTGGGACTATTTCATTTGCCCGTAAAAAATAGAAAGAAAATTACGAATCTTCCTCTTTCTCTCCTAATAAAGTGTTATCCGGTCCTGAAAAAGCCATATCAGTAAGTCAATCTTCTCTTAGACTTTCAATAACCAAAATCAAATTCAACAAAATAATCCAAGCACAGAATATCGGAGAACTGAGAAATGACGGTCGGGAGAGAAGTGGAGATTATAAAGCCCAGAACGGACAAAAGGGAGTATCGAAGGATCGTCCTTAGTAATTCCCTTCAAGTTCTGCTCATCAGCGACCCCGAAACTGATAAGGCAAATTAATCTTCCAATTCTTTGTTTAGTTTATTTTCATTAGCGACCTATCACGATTATATATTTTGTTTCTTTTTAATTTCTTTTTTACGTGACAGTGTGCTGCTTCTATGAATGTGGGTGTCGGTTCCTTTTGTGACCCCGTCGGCCTCGAAGGCCTTGCCCATTTTCTTGGTATTTCTTTTATCCATTTAAGTTATCTCCTTTTGTAGTTGTGAACTGCCTGGATAATTTTTTTCTGTCCTTTGAATTCTGACAACGTGCGAGTTTAGTAATTTTATTCCTCATACCGTAGAAGTAAGCTTATTGGTTTGCACTGTGAAATTCTGGTTCTGGTTCCGTTATCATAAATCATTTGAAATGAACTTGTTGATTTTGTTATTATTTTCCTGTTATTATTGTTTTTTTGCATTGATTTAATTGTTGAGATAACTTTGGTCTAGCAATTGAATAAGAATTGCATGGTCGTGGATATTTATTATTTTACTCGGTTTCCTTATGTTTAACATGTTGTCCTTGCTTGCAGAGCACATGCTCTTTTATGCCAGTGAGAAATATCCATTGGAAGATAGTTACTCAAAGTATATAAGAGGTATTGCTCTTCTTAAATGCCGTATGGTTACCTATTGACATATGCATGCAGTTTTAATGCTGTAACGGCATTCGTTATGTTTTAATTACTTACTTGCTATAAGTATGTAAAAATTGTTTAAAAAAGAAAAAAACCTTTGGGAGGAATTAGGGTTCGTAATATCTCTTATCTTGCTTATAAATGCATAGTCATTTGCGTCATGCCACTATAGCTACTGTGTCTCTTTATGAGGTAAAGTATTTGGATCAGTTATCGGGGAGCTACTGATGTATAAACCATTTATAGATAAGCACACAATAGTAGTTTTATTGATGCAAACTTTTAAACTATAAACCTATCGATAATTTGAAGCATAAATAGAAAAGGAAGTGTTTCAAATTTTATTATCTTTTTTCAATATTAATTTAATTATTTTATAATTACAAAGATACACACATGATAGAATAAGATAAGCAATCTTATACCAATTGAACGTCAAGTTTGAAAAGGATTTGCTTAAGATGTATGTGATGTAATACCTAATTAATTGATAGCTGACTTTGAATGAATTTTTTAATGTGACGTGCCTGTAAAACATGAGGCTTATGGTGAAGTAAAATCATTTGTATGACTGTTTTTAGTTAATATTCCTTTGATATAAAATTTACATGGTGTTTTATGTTCCTGATTTACAGCATGGAGCAGTACAAATGCCTTCACAGCTTCTGAGACGACCAACTATTATTTTGATGTCAACACCGATTGCTTTGAAGAGGCTTCAGACAGGTAGATGTTTTTGAAATCTTTCTCTAGTTGTTATTTTCATCAATGTTCTTGTAATGTATGTGATATTGGATGTTCTCGTGTCACTTGCTCTGTAGGTTTGCACAGTTCTTCATCAAGCCATTGATGTCAGCTGATGCTACCACAAGGGAAAAAGCTGTTGATTCTGGTTAGCTATTTGGTTCTTAGTTTACTTTAAACGCAGATTTCCTCTACTTCAATCTATAATTAATCAACACGAGTTTTTCTCTTTCTAGAGAACCAGAAAAACTTATTGTCTGATGCATGGAGAATGAGCCAGGTATTGTTTTCTTATTGTAGCATCACTTTGAACTAATTTAAAATGTTAAGAATTTTGTCCTTTGTTGTTATTAGTTTTTATGGAAGAAATGAATCCTAGATTGGTCCCTCATCTCCCAAATCTCTATTGCAACTTTATTGTTTTGTGATTCCACTCCCATCTATGCATTTTATGGTGTTCATTCTCATCATTTTTGCTTTAGTGATTCTAAAGCCCAGAATCTATTGTCTGTCATAGGAACAATTTGTAATGTTTTCCATAAATCACGTAGAAAGTTCCAAATTCTGCATGTGCTTGTATGTTTAGGTTCTCATACCAATTTGGTGTTTGTCTGGACTTCACAGAGTAGCAAGTTACAACGTGAATGGTTCCTCAAAATAGTGAACTGAGCTTATGTTGGGAATGTTTTTTCATCCTTTGATATTGATAGATGAGGATGATTGAATATACCCCGTCATTGAGGGCTTATTGTGTGCATGATTATTGTGGTTTCATTTCATTTTCCTTAATAAGAGAGGTATTTGTGATTATTAAATACACTGGGTCGCTGTTTGTATCTGTGTGATTGTTTGCGTCTCTCAATGCAATCTAGTCATGTCAAGTGGTTGATTTATACCGTTAAAATTGGTTAATAATTGATAATAGTAGGAGTAAGCACACGTTTAGAAGTTTCCTCATTGTTGTGTTTCTTGAAAATAAATAAGAATTCTCAGTATTCCTACTTTTAGTTGAGTGGAAGAATTTTTTGATGGATTATGGGTATTGATAGTGAGTAGTATATGACTGGTCAAGAGGACTTTTCAATGTCAAGGGACTTAAAAGAGTTTCTTGAACGTTCTAAAGAGTACCAGAGGCGAAAGCAAGAACAAAGGCAACGAAGGCATTGTTTTCACAAATATGAGTGAGAGTCAAAAATTTAGAGAGAGGAGCGAATGGTCAGTTTGCTGTGGGGGAGAAATGGACGATTTTCGTTGATAATCTTAGCAAGAGGGTTACAAGAGGTGAATTAAGGGAATATTTCAGCATTACGATCAAGTTGTGAGGATTTTCATTCCAAATTTTACTCAGAAACCGAAATACTGAACCATACTTTCGCGTTTGTTCAATTTGCAAGTGAGGAAGGAGGAGGAGGCTATTCAGTTTGTTAACGGAACTTGGATCAACGGGAAAAGAGTTTTAGTCGGGTTAGAAAAATATTAGAACAACAGGAATAGAGAAGTTACTGAAGGCAGGTCTACGAGGGATGGGCCAATCCCAATAAGGGTGGAGAAAACAAATAGTGAGAAGCACGCTGGATCTTTGAGAAACCTGAGGGATAGTAGATCATACAAGAAGGTGGTGGAAACGACCAATAGAGAGGATTGCGGAAATGTCAATAAAGAGGATGGTCAAAGGTTAAGGAAGGCTGCTAATGGGATAAGGAATATCTGGGAGATGCATATCTCCTTGGAGGATTCGACTTGGGTGAAAAGGTCTTTAACAGGGGTAGTCAAGCATTCCTTCGAGCAAGAATTTGTTCAAAAAGCTTTGGCAAGTGAAGGAATTCAGGTACAAATAGCGAGATGGGGCTACACATGGAATGCCTGTGTTGTAACCTTTAAATCGATTGAAGACTACTCTGATATATGGGCAAGAAAACAAGAGGAGATCTGTTTTTGGTTTGATTGGCTGGAGCCATTGCTAAACGAGGAGGGAGTTCCATTGGCGTTCTGTCTCGTGGAATTAATGGGATTACTGTTATTATGCTGGAATGTAGAGTTCTTGGAGAAACTTGTTCAGAAATGGGGAAAGTTCATGGGCATCTTGGATTCTTCAAAGAACATGTCAGATTTATCGTCGGCAAGAGTTTTGATCAGGGTCGCCAGTCCGTTTGATGTCCCTGAAATGGTCAAAATAGGGTCTTACGGCAGATCATACAGGTCAAAGCCATACTGGGATCGGTATTTTTAAAACTGGAGGAGTTTTCCGGGGGGATTGATGGTGAAAATTCAAATTACGGGTACAGTGAAAATCATTTTACCGAGGAAGAGTGCGGCCGCCGTCTGACTTTGGAACAAGTTGAAAATTTTAAGTCTTCTGAAGACTCTATGCTGAAGAAAAACAACTGGCATGATCAGGAACAGAGGAGTAGGTTGCAAAAGGGGGATGGGGAGCAGCTTTTACCAAAAAAGTCAAAAATGGATATTTTAGATGTCGGGTTGTCAGATTTGCGGGGAAAGTAGTGGTCTTGGACAACGAGGTTAGGAATGCAAAAGGAGTGGAGGAGGAAAAGGATGATTTTCAGTTAAAACTGTTGGAACTCAACCATGGAATTACGTAAGGGAACGTTTTCTAATGGTCAGAGGAGCTGGAGTCCGTTGGTTCATTTGTCCAGAAGTTTGGCTTTGACGAGTGTTCCGGTGGGAAGATGGAATAGAGGAACTTGTAATAGAGTATATAGAAGATCAAAAGATAGAAAATTCTGGTATATCCGAAGATAGAAGAAGAGTTGGTGCGACCAGCTGAGGTACTGGACCAAAATAGAAAAGCTTCCAATCCTTTATTGACCACCCAACCGATCCCAATTTTATAGGAAGATGGAATAATTAGCGAAGATGAGGAAGGAGGCCCCTCTAAAATTGTAGTAGGAGACTTGGACCAGCATTCAGGGAGTAGAGAAGTGCCTCGATCAGATTGTCAGTCTCGAGCAGTTATAGGGAAAGAGAGTAGGTGACAGAAGGATTTGACTAGGAAGCTTTGGATGTGGCTAGTTTACACACAGTTTCTTCTCCCTCCTTTTCGATGTTTTTGGAAGAAGCAGTGGCTACGTGGGAGGTTAGTACGATGCTGGGGATCTCATTTAAAGAAGGCAAGAAGCATTTTTAGATAAAATTATTGATCTTGAGGAAGGATTGGGGGTTAGTAGGAATTGTTGAAATAAGGGGATTTGTTATTGTTCTTTTTTGATTTGAGGTTTTTGGGATATTTGTTATATTTATGAGTAACATTAATATTATTTCGTGGAACATAAGGGGGTTGGGGAAGAAGGAAAAAACAAGAGCTATAGCTAAGTTGGTCAGGAAGAATAAGCCGAGCATTCTACTTATTCAAGAAACAAAGCTTGAAAACTGTTCTATGGCTCTAAGGAGAAGGATAGGGGGTTGTCTTCTCGAGGGATGTATTTTTTCACCAGTTGTTGGGTCTGCAGGGGGTTTGCTGGTAATGTGGAATGATAATGAATTTAAAGTGTCCAGTAGTTACTTAAGTAGCAGGATTATTGCAATATTTGGGAAGTTTAAGAATGTTGTTGAAGAGTGTGATTATGAATATTTATGGTCCCTCCACTGAATCTGAAAAGGATGAATTCTACAGGGAATTATTGGAGTTTGTTTCAGCCCAATCGAATCTACTTTGTATTGGGGGGGACTTTAATACGTATCTTGATCCGGCTGAGAAGATGGGAAGGTCTCAAAACTGGCATTCTGTTGATATCTTTAGGAATTTTCTGCAGCAAACAAATTTAATTGATCTTCCGTTGGTGGGAGGAACTTTTACTTGCTGTAACAACAGGGAAGAATCAACCTGGGTTAGGCTCGACAAGTTCTTAATTTCTGGTAATTTTTTGACCTGCTTTCCGAACGTAGTTCAAAGGCTACTGCCTAGGTCCATATCAGATCATAATCCGGTGTCATTGGAGGATTCGTATGTAGACTGGGGTCCTAAACCATTCAGATTTTACAATTATTTATTAGAGGAAGCAGGCTTCGAGAAATTGGTTAAATCTTCAATGGTTGACTTGATGGAAAGGAATAATAGAAGGGGTATCTTCAGTATTTTACAGGGAACTAAAAAGTCAATCAGAAACTGGTCAAGCAGGAAATTTAATGGGATTTCAGACTCTATTGAAACTTTAGAAGGGCGAATTAATGAGTTAGAATTGAAGGCACAAGGTAGTAATCTTTCTCCGCAGGAGTGGGACCAGGTGAAGCAGTTTAGATCGAATCTCTGGAGGTTGTACAGGATTGAAGAAAGTGTTTGGTTTTAAAGAGCAAGAACGAGATGGATTAAAGGAGGGGACAGAAATACTAGATTTTTCCACTTGTGTGCTCTAAACAGAAACAGGAGAAATGCAATTACTAGTCTGAAGATTAATGGGACTGTAGTTTCAGACCCGTCTCTGATCAAGACCCACATTTCTGATTTTTTTCAAGACAGCTTTTTAATTCCATTTCTACAATGGAAGTGGAGAACTTATTTCTGGATTTCTCTAAACTGTCAAGAGAACAATCTACAAAAATAGAGGAGAAGTTTTCAGAACAGGAAGTTTGGCAAGCTATAGCATCCTCGGACAGTTCTAAATCTCCTGGTCCGGATGGTTTCACAATGGGTTTCTTCAAGAAATGCTGGCCAGATTTAAAGGAGCAAGTACTGGAATTTTTTAACGATTTTTATTTCGGAAGGATTTGGGAGCATGGAGTAAATCACACCTTTATTACCCTAATTCCGAAAATTTTAAATCTGGAAAGTGTTGAAGACTATCGACCAATTAGCCTTGTAGGAAGTTTGTATAAGATCCTATCAAAAGTTCTATCCAAGAGACTTAGCAGCTGTGTTGGTGACATTATCAGCCCTTCCCAGTTTGCGTTTATACCAGGGAGACAATTGTTGGACTGTGCATTTGTTGAAAATGATGGGATCGATTATTGGAGAAAACAAGGTCTACAAGGGGTTGTTTTCAAAGTTGACTTTCGCAGAGCATACGATTCTGTTGAATGGCCGATTTTGAACAGAGCAATGAAGGAGATGGGCTTTGGTATTAGATGGTGTTCGTGGATCTCACAGTGTCTCTCTTCTGCTTCAATTTCGGTTCTGGTGAACGGTTCCCCATCGGAAGAGTTTACTATGGCTAAAGGACTAAGACAAGGTGTAGTCTCTCTCCGCTCTTATTTAATATTGTAGGTGAGTTGCTGCATTTGATGCTAGATAAAGCAGTTGACAAAGGACTTTTCCAAGGTTTTGTGATTGGGAATTCTGCAGATTCACTTCGGTTATCTCATCTTCAATTTGCCGACGATCTCATCATTTTTTGCCAAGCTTCACTTACTCAGATTAAAAATGTTAAAAGGGTGTTGAGGATTTTCAGTATAATGGCGGGGTTGCATCTAAACTTAAAGAAGAGTAAACTTTTTGGTGTAAATGTTGATGAGGATATTTTATCAGACTGGACATTGGAAGTGGGCTGTTCTGTTGATCGTTTCCCACAGATTATTTGGGTCCTCCAATCGGTGCTAAGAAGAATTCTAAAGCTTTATGGGATCCTGTCCTTAAAAATTTTAATTCAAAACTAGCTGGGTGGAAAGCTTCTTCTCTGTCCTTGGCTGGCAGGACAGTTCTATTAAAGTCAGTGTTGACTTCCCTGCCAATATTTTTCCTATCTTTCTTTAAATGTCTTGCAAAGTTGGGAATAAATTAAACTCCTTAATGGCCAGATTTTTATGGGGTGACGGTGCGGATAAAAGGAAGATCCACTGGGTTAGTTGGGGTACAGTTTGCAAACCAATGAACAGTGGTGGCCTTGGGGTTCTTGACTTGAATCTTTCTAATCGGGCATTATTGGGGAAATGGGTGTGGAAGTTCGCAAATGAAAAGGAATCCATATGGAAAAGAGTGTTATGTAGTAAGCAAAATATTAGTAGTAATACTATGTCTATTAGTAAGGTCATTTCTCCAAAATCTTCTTGGAATTTGAGAAGTATTGCTAATAATTTTTTGAAGAATGATTCGGTGGGTGAGTGTCTTAGATCATTTTCGAAGTTGCAAGTAGGCATTGGTAAGTCCATATCTTTTTGGACTGATCCATGGGTGGATGAGGTTCCTTTAGAAATTCTTTTCCCTAGAATTTTTGCACTCTCTACTAACAAATGGTGTAAGGTTGCTAATTTTGGAAGATTAGAGTTGAATGGTTGGCAGTGGAACATTATTACTAGGAGGAATTTGTCTGATTGGGAATTGGAACAATGGTTGGATTTGATGATGAAATTAAAGGAAATAAAACTCACTGATTCGATTAAATTTTCTCTCTTGGTCTGCAAGTGGTGATGGGTTATTCTCAGTAAAATCGTGCAGGAAAGCTCTTGGTAAGGAAGTTGGGGGTATTGATTTGTGGTCAAAAGGGGGGTGGTTGGGTTTGTCTCCGCCTCGTGTAGAAGCTTTCCTACGGCAGTTAGCTCACCAGAAAGTTGTAGTTAAAATGGAGTTAGTGAAAAGAGGAATGTCCTTAGAAGAAGATATTCTCTGTCCTTTCTGCAAGGAACATGAGGAATCTGTGCAACACTTGTTCATTTCGTGTTTTGTAGTTTGGGAACTATGGAATAAACTGGCAAGCTTCTGGGACTTGTCTATTATGCTACCACAGGACCCTCCTTCCTTAATTCGTGGGGGAGTTTGAGGTTGAATTCATTGATTTGGAAGTTTATCCCAGGAGTCGTTTTTTGGTCTATTTGGAAAGCAAGGAATGCGATTGTGTTTGAAGTTTTAAACCTTGATAGGCTGTCTCTCTTTTTCCTTGTGAGATTTAGGTTATCTAAATGGTTCCTAGCCAAGTATCCTAAATTCCCTATTCAGGAAGATCTGCTAATCGGGGATCCATCACTTGCTGATGGTATTTCTGTTCCTAAACCTAAGGATCATTCTGTTATTGGTTGGCTTCCTCCACCTGTTGATTTCTTAAAGATGAATGTTGATGGAGCTGTGAGGTTAAATGACTCGATTGGAGGTATTGGAGGCATTTTAAGGGACTAGAATTGCTGCACTCTTTTGACTTTTTCAGAGAATATTGGTCAAGGTCCACCACCAGTTGCAGAGTTAAAGGCTATTAAAAGAGGCATCGAAATTTTTCTAGCTTCAAGTTGGTCTGCTGCCAGTAGATTGGTTGTTGAGAGTGATTGTAAGTCAGCAGTGGAGTGGATTCACACCCCATCTTTGGCACCAGTTTTCATGTTGCCTCTTGTTAAAGAAATTTTGTTGATCCTTTCTGAAATGGTGGTTTTAATTAGGTTAATTCCAAGGTCTTGTAATGGGGAGGCAGATAGTTTAGCAAAGCAGGGGATCGGTTGATTGTATGTTTTAGTTATAGTTTATTTTTCTATGACTGTAGGTTCTTGAAGTAGCTGAAGTTGTTAAGTCTAATGTAAAATCATCTGCTGTATTGTTAAGTCTTATGTAATTCCGGTTTGGTAATAAAATGAGGCACTCTTTTCCTCCCTCCACTACTTGATCCTTTCTGTTAGGAAAGGGTCAACTATGAGGGAGGTTTTTAACGAGGCTTCCTATTCCTATAAAAAAAAATAGTGAGTAGTAACAACAATTGATTAAATTTTTTATGTATTATTAGTTCGCACTTATTGCTTTTTCTTTTTGATTTGAGTTCATGGTGAATTTTCTAGATGTATTCTCAACTGCAATTTTGTTTTAATTTTTCCTTCTATGCAGCTTCAGAAACATCTAAGCTTGGAAAGTCATCCATATCATAATTTTAGCACAGGTTAAAACATTTTTCTTATTTACTCTTTATTCCTTCCTTTCCACCCCCTTCTATCTTCTTCTCTTTAGTTGAATTCATGCCTAAGCTGGCTATAGGGCTTGCATTCTGCTTTATAGTTAATCAATTAACCTAGTGACATTAGAGATGAATCATCAAAAACTGAATGAGAAGGTCCAAAAAACCATTCATCACCTTGATGACGATTAATCACCCCGCCCCCCCAAAAAAAAGAAAAGGAAAAAAAAGACTTCTGTCTGCATGTCTTTGATTGGGAGCTGATTTTCCCCTTTTAGATGCTAGGATTTTCTTTCTCTTACCAGGATTTCCTGGATGGATTAGATTTTAAGTGCTTAATTTAATTACTGTACTTCCGTGTATTCTCTTGCTTTTCAATATTCCTTCAATATGCAAGGATGGGGTCTTGAGCTGGATCTTAAGTTTGAGATGAAAATGTATTTTTCTCAAACAATTCCTTTGGTTTTCTTCCTTTTTGTTCTTATATTCCTTTGGATGTGTCTGATATTTCCCCCGGTCTCTTCACAGTTTACTGGTCTTCCTTTTGGCTTCTTCTTTTGTGTGTTTTGAACTTGTAGAGAAAGAAATGACACTAGGTCATATTCTTATACTTATCAGTTACTTGTTCATATATAGGGAACTGGGATACCTTGGATGTTAAACCAAAAGCAAAGGGAGTAGACACAAGGCAAGAACTCCTTAAATTCTATGAAGAGAAATATTCAGCCAACCTCATGCACCTGGTTGTTTATTCAAAAGGTTGGTATCTAAAATTATCAGCAACTTAACTGGGGGGGGGTAAGAAAAGTTGTTTCTATTTTTCTTTGAATCACCAAAATTACAATTTCTTTGTTCTGTAATTTCAGAAAACCTTGATAAAATTCAGAGTCTGGTAGAGGACAAGTTCCAGGAAATTCGAAACTCTGATAGAAGCCGTTTCCAGTTTCCTGGCCAGCCTTGCACATCAGAACACCTTCAGGTATACGGTGCTGTTTATATTACCAATGTATTGTTTGTGTGTTATGTTTGTCAAATAAGCAAGACTCTTCCACAAGGTGCAGTATTCTGAGAGGTTTTTTTGGGTCACTTTTTCTGTTTTTTTCCTTTCTTTTCAATTCTCAGATTCTTGTCAGAGCTGTTCCTATAAAACAAGGCCATAAATTAAGGATTGTATGGCCAATCACTCCAAGCATTCTTCATTACAAAGAAGGGCCATGCAGGTATCTTGGTCATCTCATTGGCCATGAAGGAGAAGGATCTTTATTTTATGTCTTGAAAAAATTAGGTAGGTTGCACTTACCATTTTATGCTTTAGATAATCCAATTTGGAAATATCTTAAAATTCTCGCATCCCTAAAATTTGGGATGCATCCTCTTAAAATCTAGGTTAAATGCAGACATGTTTTGCTTTTTGGTTCACATATACAAAAATACCAGTCCATGCATATCCATTATGTTGTTGAGGTAGAAAATATTATAACAATATAAAATATGAAAGAATTAGAATCATTTTAAAATGTCAAAGTTAAGTTGGGCTGTTGGAATAAATGCATTTAAAAGAACGTACTGTCATGTAAAAGGGTGCATGGACTGTTACCCTGCTCCTACTTCCTAGGAAAAGTTGATAACAAATATGGTCTTACTATTACATGCTTTTTTGTCAAGCCACTGGTGTCACTGCTTTCATTACATTGAACTCAATCATGGGCTTTTTATTATCTAGGTTGGCCATTTGATCTTTTATTTTTTCCTAGAAATGATTTTCTTCTTTACTTGAAGTTCTTCAGTTTATTCCATCTCCTACACTTCTATTTTATGGTTCCTTTAATCTCTACATATTGTAAGAGTTGTTTCTCTTCTTTCATTGCATTTAATGCAACAGGATTGACAGCATTTTTACTTTTTAATGGAAGTATAAATACAATTTGACGTTTTGCACAATACGTTGCTGCGATTTGAATCCAGTTGGTAATTCTGACTGCATGAATCTTTTGGACATCTCACCGAATGATAGTTTGGTTGGTATAAGTGTTTGCTTCTCTTTTGTGTCAAATAGGAACATTGTATTTAACTTAAGTTCTTCAATAATTTTCTTAAAATTTAAGTATCCTTTAGGTATGTGGTTATTGTGTGGAGACCATGATAAGTTATCATTTGCCACTGCTTTATATTTGGTTATTGCAACTCCAAGGGAGGAAAATTTTAATAATAAGTTAAATGACATAGCAGCATTAGCTCAAGTATGAATCTCCACACATGGACTTATAGGCTTCATGCCCCTCCCTTTTATTCTTCTTTTTCCCTCTATATTGTCCTTTTATGAGGAAGGCATACATAAATTTGTGTATGATTGCATATTCAAATGTATACGTGTAAGGACATTATATGAATTTATTGTGAGTGTATATTTAATGAATTTTGCACATGCATATGCATGGAACTTTGTAGGATGGGCTGCTGGGTTGTCTGCTGGTGAAGGTGAATGGACTTCAGAGTTCTCTTTCTTCAAAGTAGTAATTGATCTTACTGATGCTGGCCAGGGTTAGTTCTTATGTTCATTCACATCCTCTCTTTCATCATGGGTGTTTGATAAGCTTTTAATCATAGATGTATCCTTTATTGGTAAAGATTACAAAGGCTTGTAAACTTTGCGTGGGAAACACAGATGTTTTACACTTGACTAATATTGTTTCCCTTTGAGTAAATTTCAGATCATATGCAAGACATAATTGGGTTATTATTTAATTACATTCAGCGGTTGCAGCAATCTGGCGTTTGTAAATGGATATTTGATGAGGTATGCATATATTATACTTGAATAATTATAATTCCTTTAGGAGTTATTGACATTTCATTGTGACTGTTTATCATCATTTGAATATGTCCTTGTTGCTAGTGTGTGTAATCATATGTCTATTTTAACTTACCCTCAAGGACTTCTTTTTGATTGATAACATACTGCAGTTTATCAGACCTTGTGAAAACAAATGCTTAGACTTGTGAATTTTGGCAGGAAAAGGAAGATTAGGATTTATTTTGTAATTGAGGTTTTGGATTATGGGAATCATGCTACACAATGGGTGAGAATAAGGATTGATGGCTAGGAATCATTGTTCCATAAAAGCACTGTAAAATATAAATATCTTGTATATCAACGATTTTTTGATCATACTAATCTATTTTAAACCATTACTGATAAAAAGAACCACATAACTAACCTGGTCTCCAAGAAAATAAATGTAACTCAAATATTCTACATTCTACACTCAACAGCTTAATGTGCTAGTGAGAGAAGCTCCAGCTTCTCTCTAACCCAGGCGATTCAAATTTCAAATTTGAACGAGCCCAGGCGTTTTTGAATATTACTCACTCCTCCGATACCCGTTGTCCGCCGTAGCCGAGCGCCACCCGCCGCCGCTGTTAGCCGTCCTCCGCCACACTCTGACCACCCTTTGACGCCATTTTTTCCTGTGAAGATTGTCGGCTCTCGATGATTTCAAATCTGGCCTGAGTTTTGCGATTGAGACTTTCAATCAATGCAGATCTTCAAGATGTCCACCGTCGCTTTCCGCCGTCCGTGCTCGTCACCGTCTCTCCACCAGACTTAGCATCTTCTTGCGACCAGAACCCTCCTATCCTAGTATCTCACCATGGAGCCCCAACCCCCGTCTCAGCCCAGGCGATCTCGAGCTGCAACAGTAGTGGCAGGTGTAGCCTCTGGGAGCAACAACAGATCTGGTTTTTCCTAATCCGGTAAGGAAAAACGTCAGATGAGGAATGAAAAGGAGAGGTCAAAGCTTAGGAAACGGAACAGATGAGCTTTCACCAGACGTTTGCTGGCCGGTTTGAGGCAATATGCAGGGTTTCAAAAAACGGTCTGCGACCGCGATTTCGTCCGCGATATAGCGGTTTCGCCGCTGTCCGAGTTACCAGCGACAGCCGCAATAGCGTCCGCGATGACCGCAATAGCGCCCGCGACAGCCGCAATCACAGTAAATCCGTAATAACCTAAAACGCGACCGCGACTTGAAACCCTGGCAATATGGTAATCTCTCTTCCCGTGCGTTCTAATATGAACACTGTTCTGGCAGCCTTGTCCCGGGAGGCAGGTTGGACAGTTGAGCTCGACTGCACTACCTACAGGCACTCTCCTACCCACCATAATCAGCAAAATTTAAGAGCAGTTTCTGCGAGGTCAGGTGAAAGTCCTCTTTCAACCAATTCTTTGAAAAAATGCTCTGCTAAAAGAACATTAGACTGTCAACCTCCTGTTGTTAGGATTAATGACAGTGGTATGTCTCCTTCGCAAGGTGGGAATTATAGGATTGAGAAGCTTTCTTTAGTGGAGGCAACACCCGCTCTTTCTGCTGCTGAAGTTGATCACCATGGAACCAAGAAGGGGTATTCCAATTAAAAATCTTCTAAAGTAGCGAGAAGGAGAAGCAATGGTTTTCATAATCGGCGGAAGGAAGCTCATACAAATGGAAGTAATGGGCGTAGAAGTGGATGCGTCACGTTATTCATTGAGAACCTTCCGGAGAAGATCCATTGGAAGAGACTTGGACATATATTTGGCACTCACAGACAAGTTATTGATGCCTTCATTCCCAAAAAAAGAAACTCGAAGGGGGTTCGCTTTGGGTTTATTCGCTATGCTACAATTGAAGAAGCAAGGAAAGCGATTTCAATTATGAACGATAATCTTATTTATGGCAGCAAAATTAGAGTCTCATAAACCCCGACAGTCCTACTGGCGAAAGTCCTCGACAATTGTTCAAAGTAAGTCTGGGTTGGAAGATATTTCGAGGAATAAACACTGTGAAGTTGAGGGTGTTGTAGACGAACATAAACTTCAGGTGTTGAGCAACTGTCTTGTGGGGTGGTGCAAGAACTTTATAAAAATTGGTAATCTTGCTAACCAGATACAATCCAAAGGATTAGCTGGTTTTACGCTAATGAGAGCTGGTGGAAATGTAGTTATGGTTTTTGAAGACTCTGATTCGTTGAAGAATGATAAGTTAGAGACTCTAGCAGAATGGTTTTCCAGAGTGGAAACTTGGTCGGAGAGCCTAGTGGTGGAGTGCCGTCGTGTGTGGGTAGTTTGCGAAGGTATACCTTTTCACGCTTGGAATGGGGATACCTTCAAAAACATTGCAACTAAGTGGGGCAAGTTAATTGCAATCGACAGCAGTTGTGAGTTTCCAACATCTTTTGATCGAGCTAAAATCCAATACTCACTAAGGCTAAAGGGAGAATTGATGAGTTGTTGGGGTTGAAGATCGGTGCTAATTTATTCAATATCTTGGTGCATGAAGTTGATCTTTCCTTCAAACCTAATTCTTGGGTCCCTGAAGATTGCGATGTTTCATTAGAACTTGTTCCTCCAATTGATTCGTGATTGTTCTACAGCTGTTTTTAGAGGCGTTTTTTAGTTTGTCGTTGTAATTGTTGGTTTTTATTTTGCTATGTTATCTTTCATCTTTTTTTTTTGATAGAAGAGTAGGCCTCATTAAAAAACCCCTTCTAGCCCTCCATGTTATGTGAGTAACATGAAGGATCAAGGAAGAAGGAAAAGAGTGCCTAGAAAATTTTATTCATAAAACAATAATACATAGGTAGAGCATAACAAGCTCCACAACCTCCAACCGAAGAACATAAGACTTAACTCCAAAACCTTACAACACAGGAAATTACATTTCCTACAAAACAACACAACCAATATAAACCAAGGATCACCCTATCCCATCTTTAGCTAGTTTATCAACTTCCCAGTTTGCCGCCCTCAAAATATGCCTAATAATAATATCCTTTCTTGCCAATAACGCAACTATATCGTTCACCAAGGATAGAAACAAAGGGGGGCATAAACCCGGATTCTTGATCCATTTCAGAGCATTAATTGAGTCAGTTTCCAGAATAAACCTCTTATTAAGAACATAACCTAGCTCTTCCATAAGACAAAGCCCCCTCTTAATCGCTAACAACTCTGCCATAATAGGAGGACCTCCCCTACTGGTTCAGAGAACCACTGAAGCAACACACCTTTACTATCTCGAATTAGACCACCAATACCTCCTTTATCCCAGCTCGATACCATCGCTCCATCAACATTTAGCTTTAAGAACCCATCCGGGGGAGGAACCCAGCAAGAAGATTGAGAGCAGTCCTGTCGTTGTTTTCCCCTCGAATCGACAAGTTTTAAATCACCTACTAGGAAATCTAAAGGAATAACCACATCGTTGAACCTTGCAACAAACCAGGAAGTTACTCTAAATCGAATAATGAAAAACAGCCTGACCAAATCCAGCTTTCCATTCTGAAAGATAATCTCATTTCTACATTTCCACACTGACCACATCACTTCCCTTGGAATGAACTTCCAGATCGAAGATTTAGGCATTAAATCATCCCACAAAATGAAAAAATCAGTGATATGCTTTGGGGCTTTTTGTTTGAAGATGGAAAAGATTTTTAGGTAATATGGTTTTTGTAATGGTGTATATTCCCGTATGAGGGTTTGGTGTGACCACTTGTATTTGGTATTTTATTTAATAAAAAATGAGGCACTCTTTTCTTCCTTCCAATGTTCTTCAACATACTTCTAAGTATGTGGAAGAATATGAAGGGAGTTTTTAATGAGACCTCCAACTTCTATAAAAAAAAAAAACTCAACAGCTTAATCCTAGGGCTTATAAGTTAAGGAACTACAGTTCCACCCTTATACATGACAGCTGCTTAAGTATATAAAATGATGATACATGATCAAATTGGCGCTTTTTTTTTGGGGTGTGTGTGTGTGTGTGGAATTTATTCTATTGAAGATTCTTTAGCAGTTAAAAGTCAGTTGATTACCCTGTGATAATTTTGGTTACATTTTGAATCTCTTTGTGGGGTTCTTCCCCATTTATTTAAAACATATGAGCAAGAGTAACCTACTTGATCAACTTTCACAGTTATAGGCACATTGATCAAGGTGATTTCAGAATTCATGTTTAGATTTTGCTCAATGTATCCATGTACTTTATGTGCATCAATGATTTGATTTTAGTGGTAGCCCCTATCTCATTATATTAGTGATTCTAAGATAATTAAATTTGTGAATGAAGCTATCGGCTGTTTGCGAGACAGGATTTCACTATCAGGATAAAATCTCTCCTATTGACTATGTTGTAGATATTTCAACAAACATGCAGGTAATTCAATTACATCCATCATCTCTTTTTTACCCCTTTTTATTACTTGACTTTTGTTTAAGGGTTTTATTGTTAGCATTTCGATTCTATTTTCACTTGTAGTTCGGTCTACATTTGTATCATATCATAGTTTAATGACAATAACCTTTCAAATTAGAACTTTTCCATGAGGACATGACTAGCTGACCAAAGCCATTTGTTCTTCTACTTTAGTTAAAATACATAAAAAGAAAGGATTATTTTATATATTTGGTGACATAAAATAGGATATGTTTTATTATATATTATGTTTGTGTGTAATAGAGGTAGCAGAGGCAACTCAGAGTCATTAATGTGTTGTAGTTACTTTGATTATTCTGAGAAGAAATATAATGCAATTTGTGATTGAACTAGAAGCAGTTATGGAAAATAGCAAGTTTAACAATTCAAATTATCTAAAGAGTGTTCCTTTTTTTTTTGATAGAAGATTAGGCCTCATTAAAAACCCCCTTTTTCAACCTTCATGTTATAAAAGTAACATGAAGGACAAGGAAAGAAGGAAAAGAGTGCCTAGAATTTATTAGTTGAAACAAAGTACAACAAAGGCAGACCCTAAACATCTGCAAACACCACCAGAAATTACATAAAACTTAAACACAACAGCTAAACATAGGAAATAAAATTATCTACTCCTCAATACAAGCAGACAGAAACCATTACATCACCCTATCCCATCCTTAGCTAATTTGTCAGCTTCCCAATTTGCAGCCCTCACAATATGCTTGATAATGATATCCTTCCTTGCCATAAAAGAGACTATCTCCTTCACCAGTACTTGAAACATAGGAGTGCATAAACCCGGATTCTTGATCCACTTTAGGGCATTACTTGAATCAGATTCAAGAATAAACCTCCGATTAGGGACAAAACTTAAATCTTCCAGAAGACATAACCCCCTCTTAATCGCCAATAATTCTGCGAAGATAGGAGGACCACCCCCAACTCTTTCTGAAAACCATTGAAGCAACACACCTTTACTGTCCGGAATCAAACCACCAATGCCTCCCTTATCCCAACCCTTTACCATCGCTCCATCAACATTGAGCTTTAAGAACCCATCCGGAGGAGGAACCCAGCAAATTGGTTTAGAGATGCCATTTCCTTGTCTTCCCACCAAATCCGCAAGTTTTAAATCTCCCACAAGAGAGTCTAAAGGAATATTCACATCCTTGAACTTTGCAACAAACCAAGAAGCTATTCTAAAATGGACAATAAAGAACAATCTCACCACATCCAGCTTAACTTTATGAAAAATAACCTCATTTCTGCATTTCCACACTGACCACATCAACGCCTCTGGAATAAATTTCCATATCAAAGAATTCAGAAGTAAATCATCCCACAAATTTAAAAAGTCCATGATATTCTTTGGAATCACAAAGGACAAATTCCAAATATTCAATAATCTGGCCCACAAACCCCATACTACCTCGCAATGCAAAAATAGATGCGAAACTGATTCCATTTCCCTACCACACAGAGAGCATAAAGGATCATCAATCCCTACCACTCCTCGCTTCAGTAATTCCTCCTTCACCGCCACTCTCTGGTGAGCAACTTGCCATACAAATGTCTCCACCCGTGGAGGAGCAATCCCTGCCCAAATATGTCTCTCCCAGATCTCCATCTTCTTCTGACTACCATCCTGATCAAGGAAATTGTTGATACAAGATTTAGCTGAAAAACAGCCCTCACCATTCCCTGACCAAATCCAACAGTCTTCCTCACCTGGCGATATTGAGATATTGTTCAACATTGAAATCAATTGCAATAGCTGTTCAACCTCCCAATCCGCCAAATTTCGCCTCATTTGAATGTCCCACACCCAACTAGCGCCATTATTCACCCTATACTCCATCACCTTACCCGATTTGTTGCTAGGAAACTGAATTTTCAAAGGTACTTCACCCAACCATACATCATTCCAGAACTGCACATAGTTCCCCTTCCCTGTTTTCAAACGCATATTCCTCCTAATACAATCCCCAAAACCATCATCGAAAAAGAAATTTTTAACCTCTCCAAATCCATGATGCACGGCCTGGCCACGAGTTCCCCATCATTATGCATTTCGGATCCAAGTCATAAACACCACATACCACCCTCTTCCACCAAGACTCTTTCTCTGATGCAAACTTCCAAACCCACTTCCCCAATAATGCTCTGTTCAAGAGTAATAAATTCGGGACCCCTAGACCCCCCAATCTTTTTGGTTTACTAACCGAACTCCAATTTAACCAGTGGATATTTTTTTTATCCTGCACCCCCCCCCCCACAAAAATGAAGCCATGATAGAATTTAGTTTCTTTAGCACAGAAACTGGAATTTTGAAAATGGAAAGAAAATACACAGGGAGCGAGCACAACACTGACTTAACCAACACCACCCTTGCTGCAAGCGACAGGGAATTAGACTTCCAACCGCTCAACTTGGCATGAAATCTCTCCACTATTGGCTCCCACATGGCAGCCGAATTTCTCTTATAGCCCAAGGGTAAACCTAGATACTCTGATGGGAAACTTCCTACCGAACAGCCAATATCATTCGCCCAAGTAGCTAACGCCCCATCCTCAACATTGATACCATAAATTCTGCTCTTGACTTGATTAATCTTCAACCCCACCAGTAACTCATATATTAATAACACTCTTCTAACATTCCTCAAATCACGAATAGAGCCTTTACTGAAAATTATAAGGTCATCCGCAAATTGCAAATGCGAAAGCTTAAATGCCCTATCATGAACACCTACATCGAAACCTGAAAACAGTCCTATGTCAACTGCTTTAGTAAGCAACAGATGCAGTAGCTCACCAACCATATTGAACAGCAAAGGCGATAACGAACAACCCTATCTCAATCCCCTCGCCGTGTGAAATTTCTCTGTAGCTGACCCGTTTACTAGAACCGAAATGGATGCTGAAGACATACATTGATACATCCATGACCTCCACTTGTCACCAAACCCCATTTTGCTCATAATTTTCATCAAAATGTCCCAATCAACCGAATCGTAGGCTCTCTTGAAATCCACTTTGAAGACTACTCCCTTCAACCCTTTCTTCCTCCAAAAGTCAATGCATTCATTAGCAATAAACGAGCAATCCAATATGTTCCTTCCCGGAATGAAAGCAAGTTAAGACGGACTCATTATATCGTTAATGCACAAACTCAATCTTCTAGCTAAAACCTTTGATAAAATTTTATATAGCCCTCCGACTAGGCTAATTGGCCTAAAATCTTCCCCTCCGGATTAGCCTTCTTAGGAATGAGAGAAATAAATGAATGATTTACCTCCGAGTCCCACTCCTTCCCCACATAGAAATCTTTAAAAAACAACATCACATCGTCCTTCATTGTGGTCCAGAATTTCTTGAAGAAGCCTAAATTTAGATCGTCCGGTCCTGGAGCTTTATTACTATCCGACTGAACAATAACATCCCATACCTCCTCTTCCGAAAATGGCTTCTCCAATGCTAGGCACCTCCCCTCCGATAGTCTAAGAAAATCCAGATTTAAATCTTCAACCTTCAAAGTATTCCTCTGATTAAACAACCCCTTGAAGAACTTCACCACAGAAGCTTTGATAACATGGGGATCTACCGTGACTACATTGTCAACTTTAAGAGATTTGATACAATTTATCCTCCCTCTTACTGCCGCACTATGATGGAAAAAACTAGTGTTCTTATCTCCATCCAATCTCCACTTTATTCTAGACTTTTGCATCCAAATCGATTCTTCTTTTTTTTGTAGCTCCCATAATTCTCTCTTTGCTTCGACAATAGATTGCATAGACACCATGGGAAGTCCTTTTTGCAAGTCCATTTCCATATCATGAATTTCTCTCTCCAACGTTCTGATTTTTCCTGGCAGCTGAAGATAATCCCTCCTCGACCATCTCTTTGCCACATCCTTCACCCGATTAAGAACTTTGGATATGGACATCGGGTTCGCCCCTTTGCAGAATTTACACAACTCTGTTTTCATCATCTCATTAAACCCCTCTTCCTCCAACACATAATTAAACAACCGAAACGGTTTCGGCCCCCAATTACATTCCTTATTCTCCAACAAAATGATATTGTGATCAGAGACAGACCTTGGAAGCAAGGTTTGGCCTAATTTTGGAAAAGACGAAAATATGAATGATCAACCAAAAACCGATCCAACCTCTCAAAAGTTGGAACTTCCCTATTGTTACACCACGTAAAACGACCTCCAAATAACGACAAATCCATCAAATTCGCCTGACTAACAAACTCTCTGAAACTGTTCATAGTTACCGGATTCACTGCTCCTCCATCTTTCTCTTCCTGAGTCAATACTGCATTGAAATCTCCTCCTAAACACACTGGACAATCAAGCTGTTCCAAAAAAGATGATAACTCCCTAAAAACTGCTCCTTGTCTGCATCAACACTCGGACCGTAGACATTAATAAAACAATAAATTCTTGGATCTCCTTCTAATAACCCTTTTAATGCCACAAATCTGTTGTGGATGACTTCTTCCTTTACCACAATATCCTTTTGATTCCACAAAGTAATTAAACCACCAGCAGAACCCACAACAGGAACTACTACTGCACCAGTGAGTATTTTACCCCCCATTTTCCTTACTAACAAAGGACTTACAACTTCCAGTTTAGATTCTTGTAAAAATAAAATTGTAGGCTTTTTCTCCTCAACAAACCTCCTAATTGCTCGAGCTTTCACCCTTCTACCCAAACCCTTAACATTCCAACACATTATGGACCACTCTATCATCAAAATCATACCATAACCTTAAATCCCTGTTCCTACTACCCACCATCAATCATCCCTATCCTTTACCATAGGACCTACTTTAGTCAAGAACTCTATCTCCCCTCCTTTAAATTTAACCCCCAACAATTTAGAGACATTCCAACATTCCAAAGCTTCTGTCCTCCCCTGTTCATTCTTATCTGAAACAAAATCCGACCCCTTGCCACTGCAACTATCCAAAGCTTTTGTCCTCCCCTGTTCATTCTTATCTGAAACAAAATCCGACCCCTTACCACTGCAACTATTAACTTCCCCCCTCCTAGTATACACATTCTTATACAACCCTCTTCCAGCTTTACTAACTGAAGCACTCCTCCCAATAGGGCACCTCTGGGCCAATGAAACAAACCCATTCTGCATACCAGAATCATCTTGTATACCATATGTAAAATCTGCAGACTTAACCCCATTTCGATTTGATCTTGGACTCCTCTGCTCAGGCCCAAACACTTTTCTCCTCCCCATGCTGGAAGTAAGCCCATCGTCTTTGACCACTTTATCTTGTCCCGAGGTAACATCTCCCAAGCTCTGCACCCTTTTTCTTCCTGCAGAAAAAACCCCTGACACTTGCTGTTGACTATGAACCTCACCTAGTACTGTCCCCTCAGAACAAAAGTCATCTCCTAGGATATTATTGACTTCTACCTTTTCATTCAAATTACCATCGGTAAGCGTGACACCTCCATTTGTAGCATTCCTAACCCATGCTTCAACACTGTTCTGAGCGTCTGTCAACATTTTGAAATTCAACTGCTCCTTCAGACCCTCCCGGTCATCCCCTTGATTCCCTTCCGACGATGTCTCCTCCCATGGATCAATTGTTCCCTCCACAGAACCCTCTTCATCCACTCCTTCTATCACAGGAAAGAAATCCTCACTGCCATCCACTTTAATCTTAATAATAAAAGGCCTTCCATAAGTGTTAATGGTGACCTGGGACGGGATATCAAACGGACTCTCAACCCTTAACAACATATGAGCCACCCTGCAATCTAGTTTTTGAGCTGTATGCTCCTGGATCTTCACTAATTTACCCCATCTCGATGCCAAACTTGTAAAGAAAGAACCTGTCCAGCAATTTAACGGTACACCTATCATGGAAACTGCACAATAAGGTAATGGGACACACTTCTCTTCTATAACAGGCTCCAACCTTTCAAACCAAAAGGACAAAGCCTCCCACTTGGTTTCCACCGCTGCATCTTTCTCCTCCACTGACTGGAAGACTATCAAACAAGCATTTTTTGCATAGCCCCACCTTACCACCTTGACATTGATTCCCTCACTCCTTAAAGCCCTCTGAACAAACTCAACTTCAAAAATCGCTTTACAGATACCTGTTAAAGACGATCTCAACCATATTCTTTCCTCCATAGGAATAAAGACTTCCAAAGGCTTCTTCACCTCCCTCTTATCTCCAGATCTGATTACATGCTGACCCTCAACATTTCTTACTCCCGCTACCGTCTCCTTATATGTTCTGCCATCACGAAACTTGTTCAACAGCTCCTTCTTCCCAACATCAACATCTTGACATAATGGACTTTTCCTTCTGGAAACCTCCACACATGCATCTCTAGGCCCCGCTACACTATTGCACTTAAGGTTCCCTGGAAAACTGCTCTTCTGATATTTTGCAGTCGAAACCACTATTCTCCTCCCATCTACCATGACATTATTCATCTTACTCATTGCATTCAGCAAATCCTCCTTGCTTGCAAAGTGCACAAAGGCAAACGTTTATCTTTATAATTAGGTCTCCTATTAACGAATGGAATGAACACCTTAACCACCTTGCCATGAAGACTAAAACGATCCCATAAAACACTTCTATGCACTCTTCTACTAAGATTGTCTATAAATGCTACCCACGATCCTCCACCAGGCACTGTTCTACCTCTGCCACGAGAACCATTACCTCTCAGCTCCACACACTCTCTCTCACTAACTTTCTCACTCATCTCGCCTAGGATCTTAAACATATTGATATCCTTTCAAAGAGGTATACGAAAAATGTCCACTTTCCCCGTCGAAACTTGCCAACTGTTCCAGTCGCAATTTAAAAGCTAATTAACACATGTATGGAATCTTCACCTCCTAAAGAGTGTTCCTGAAGTTCCATATATGTGGATACTAGGCGCTTCATTTAGTGCATCTCTGAAACCTGGTACTGAAGAATTGTTTCAGAAGCAATATCTTTCTCAAGTTCATTTGGTAGCTCTCTTAAGTGCTTCTTTAGTTCCTTTTCAAGTTCCTTTTAAATCTTTTCTAAGGAAACTGATAATTTAACCAACATGTATTTAGCTTTTGACTTTTGGGACTTGGTTTAGACTATCATTCTCTATCTCAATTGCCCTCATCTGTAAGTTGTTTGTTTTGTTTGCGTATTTACTATAACATCAATGATCTCATGTTGGAGCTTTATTTCTGATATATTCGAAAGTGATTTTCAGATATAACCTCCACAAGATTGGTTGGTCGGATCATCATTGCCTTCGGATTTCAACCCAACCATCATACAGAAGATACTAAACGAGCTTTCTCCTGACAGGGTCAGGTACATATTTGAGCAAGGTTAAACCGGAAGATTTGAAGCATACAGTTCTCATTTGAGACAGCGCTATTTACCTTTATTTTTATGCAAGTATATGTCTATGGAATGGTTTAGCTCTCCATTTGGAACTCTTATACGTTTTCGCAAACAATCATTCTCTCTGATTAGTTTGAGGCTTTTGGTTAACATTGGCATCCAAAATTTCTTTTCTATGTTTGTGTGAATTATATCTTACATGCTACAATGGTTTAGCTCTCCATTTGGAACTCTTATACGTTTTCGCAAACAATCATTATCTCTGATTAGTTTGAGGCTTTTGGTTAACATTGGCATCCAAAATTTCTTTTCTGTGTTTGTATAAATTATATCATACATACTACTAGATAAACAGGTTTCCAGGTTATCAAATGAATTTACCATTAGTGATTGGAGCACCCTCTAAACGAGATTGCTACTTATCAAGTATCAACCCCTTAATAGTAGAGATGTATTTGAATCATATCAGCTAAGTGAACTTGCGGTTGTGCTCTGATATAGTTTATTTCTGATAAGCCTGCTTCTTAACAGAATCTTCTGGGAGTCAAAGAAATTTGAGGGACTGACTGACAAGGTTGAGCCATGGTATGGTACTGCATTTTCCGTTGAGAAAGTTAACCCCTCAATGATTCAGGTCTGTATCAGATCTTGTTGATGATATGTTAATTACATTTGTATGATAATTAATCTATTAATGGACTAGTCATTTGATTCTACTGAAAAAAAGGTGCTTCATCAATCCTTTTTTGACTGCAGGGTTGGATGACTTCAGCTCCTAATGAAAACCTTCATCTACCAGCGCCTAATGTCTTTATACCAACAGACTTATCTATTAAGAATGCACAGGAGAAGGTTTGATGAGTCTTTCCATTTGATTTTATTATAAATAATCTTTTTATGGATATCCCGACTTCTCATATGATTATCCTTTGGAACAGATTAAGTTTCTAGTTTTATTGAGGAAGTCATCCTATTCAAAGTTGTGGTTCAAGCCTGACATGGTGTTCTCTACACCGAAGGCATATGTTAAAATAGACTTCAACTGTCCCTATGCTAGCAGCACTCCTGAAACTGAGGTTCTAGCAGATATTTTTGCACGGTTATTGATGGATTACTTGAATGAATATGGTATGATAAATGCCATTGGTTTTGTCATAGTGGTTTAATGTGATTTTCCTGTGTGATTCTACACTCTCCTCCCTCCCAATAACTTTTTTTCTTTGTTGAGTGTTTGATATGCTAAACCTTCTATAGTGACAGTAGATTGTTCTTATCATTTGAGTAGGAATATCTTCTTTGCTGATGCTTTGTTTTATCTTGCATGCTTCAGCTTATTATGCCACGGTTGCTGGTCTTCATTATGGCATAAGCCTTTCAGAGAGTGGTTTTGAGGTACTTTTTCTCTCTTTTATTGTGGCATTAATGTGATTCCATCTGATAACTTTTTTCTTCTTTGAACTAAATAGGGTTATCTATGGATAAGGTAATGGATTTTTCTGACACATAAAAAGTCTTAAAACAATTACTTATTGAAAAGGATATATCCTTTACGAAAAAATGTTATCAGAGATGGAAGTTAGATTGTCTCAAGAATTTGAAGATGCGGTTATATTTCATGATTAAAGGTCAATGTTGCTTGAGTTTGGCCGATTTTCGAAGGAGGTTACTAGGATCATTTTAACCCATGCCTGACCTGGTTCCTGACTTGTCCACATTGAATTGGTTGGGTGGGTCTGATTACAAATTTTGTCTTGAACAAAATGTTACCAGTGATCTTCAGGCTTTCAATAAATTTTATATTTTTTCTTCTTTTAGCAAAAAAGCAAAATAGTTTTCTGAATGCTAGAAGGTAAAAGCTGGTATAGGTTGATTTTTGGGTTTCTGTGTTATACCTTGGCTGTTCTTTTTAAGGGAGTTATGAGGGTGTGTTATGTATTTAGAGTTATGGATTAAAGGTTATGTTGTTAGTAGTTAGTCATGAAGGTGTGGAGGTGTATTATTGTTCTCATTAATAAAAGTTAGAGGCACTCTTTTGCTCCTTCCTATGTCCTTCATGTCATGTTTAGAACATGTAGGATATGAAGGGGGTTTTTAATGAGGCCTTATTTTATCAAAAAAAAAAATCTTTTGAGAAAGTAAACTATTAACTTACACTGTGATGTCCTAAATTCTGCCTTACTCTTGTACCAATAAGTAGTTTGCCTTCTGTTCAAGCTAGATTGAAGTTGGAATTGGCATGATATGGAGGCTCTAAATATATATAATTTGAAAAATCATAGGAAAAAAATTCTTTCTTTGTAACCATTTTCTGTCTCTTTTTCTTTATATGTATGTGTGCACATTTTCCAAGCAGTTTATAGTACTCGTTGTTTATTTTATTTCTTAGTAAAATGGTATCATTTAATTTTGTTTTCACTTTTAGGTGACATTGGTTGGTTATAATCACAAATTGAGGATCTTGCTGGAGACTGTGGTTGACGAAATTGCAAAATTTGAAGTGAAACCTGACAGGTTTTCAGTAATCAAGGTAATTGACTAAGAGATAATATAAAATGCTATTTCCACTTGAGAAATAAGAACTGCCTTTTACCAGTAGTATGTTATTGAGTTTTTTGTGCTCTTCTCCTCCTCGGATGTCTCAATTATTCGTTACTTATTGATTGGGTGTCGAAGGGAAGACTCATTGTAGAAAGTGACAGTAAGCAAGCAGTGGATTGGATTCATGATCAAGCAACAGTTCCTACTTTTCTTTTTAATTTTGTTCAGGACTTAGTGTCTATTGTTTCTAGGCATGATACTATTGTGAGGTGGATTCCTAGGAGCTGTAATTGCGAGGCTGATAAATTAGCTAAGGAGGGGATTGGCTGATGGTTATCTGTGTTTCAGTGGGTTTGGGTGTTTAGCAGTAAGGTTTAAATGGTGTCTGTTTAAGTTTTATGTAACTCTCAGGAGTTCTTTTTAGGCTTATGTACTTCGTTTGAATTCAATATATTGAGACACTCTTTTCCTCCTTCCGCTAGTTGGTTCTTACCATAGGGTAAAGAACCACTAAGAGGGAGGTTTTTAATGAGGTCTTCAATTCCTATCAAAAATAAATAAATTGTGGTTGGTTATGCTTGAAAGTTAATTACATACAGATTTTTTTTTATAGGAATTACATACAGAATTTTAGATACTGTAATTGTTTATTTCCCTCAAAATTGTCACTGACATCAAATTTAATTTAGTTCTAAGTTAGTATTTTTGTTTTCCCTCTCTTGGGGAATTAATTGTATATCTGTTTGGTTTTTATTGAGACTTATTGGGTGTTTGTAATGTTGAGCTCACAATCATCTTGATGTTTATTACTAATGTGAATGTCCTGCGGCCATTTTGCAAAATTTTCATCCATTGTTCCATCTATCGCATTGTAATGTCGAAATTTGGTAGTCCAAAGAAGCATGCTTCTCCACAGCCATAGATAGCTATATTCGAAGATGATTGAAAATTGAAGGCATCATTGATATGCACCAAGACCTTGAACTGCCTTTAGAGTTTCAAAGTACATATCTGTTTGTTACAATGTAAGCATCTTTCTTGGAATAACTTACAAAGGAAACTTTGGATGCTGTTTTTTTGTATCATTGGATTTCCATCCCGTTTCAAAAGAAATAGTTGACCGAAGTATAAGGTAAGCACGTTTGCTTTCGTCCATTTTGCAAGTAAGGAGGATCTGTGTAATGCAGTGGATAAGATGAACAACGCCCTGATTGATGGGAGGAGGATTTTAGTGGCTGTAGCCAAATATGAGAAAATATCTGGGTCGAAGAGTCAGAGAGATGGGAGGGCTGATGGAGTTATTCGTGCTGGTATCAGTGGGGGAATGGGTAGAAGATTGCCTCCTCAAGATGACAGGGTAAGAAGGATGGAGATGCTGGATAAGTTTCATGATGGGAGGTCCTACAAGGAGGCGGTGGTGGGGGTGTATAAAGAGCCAGAGGGTGAGCAAGAGGGTATTCATGTTAATTCGAGGGAGATGAATAATACTAAGGATGTTTCCATCCCAGTGGAGGATAGGGTCTGGCTTAGATCGTCTCTTACTGGTATCTTCAAAGATATTTTTGAACTTCATGTTGTGCAGAAAGCGTTAAGGAACGAGGGCATCAACGTAAAGGTTGTTAGGTGGGGCTTTGCTAAGAATGCGTGCCTGGTTGTGTTCCAATCGGTGGAAGAGAAGAAGTTAGCAATGGAAGGAAAATGGGAAGCTTTGTCCTTCTGGTTTGAAAGGTTGGAGCCGGTATTGGATGAGGAAAGCATTCCCCGAGCTTTTTGTACGATCTCCATGATAGGAGTTCCTTTAAATTGCTGGTCGGTTCCGTTCTTCACTAGGGTGGTATCCAGGTGGGGAAAGTTAGTGAAGATTAAAGATGAAACTGCTCAGAGAGCGGATTGCAGAGTTGCACAGATGCTTCTTAGGGTAGTCAGCCCTTTTGACATCCCTGATCATACTTCAGTTACTACGAATGGAAGGAAATTTCTAATAAAAATTAAGGTGGATGGGGGGGATGATTTCTTTCCTGATTTTTCAGATCTGGCTGAAGAGGTTGTTCCAGAGAATCCTTCGGTGGAGAACTCCTCCGGTTGGAACACAGAGGATGGGCAGGCACAGCATGGAGGTCACGTGGAACGTCAGGAAATGTCAGAAATCCATAATAGGGTGCTAGAGTGGGTTGCAGACTCACAACGTTGTAATGTCACAGATTCCGAGAGAGTTGACTTCTCTCCACATGAAAAGTCGGAAGATCTTTTTGAAAGTAAGAAAAGCGGGAAAAGTATGGGGGGGATCTTTTTAAGCTTGATAATGTTGACCAGGAAAGTGGGCCTAATTCAGGCCTTGGAGGGATTCAGTTGACTGGTCTGGAGCAAGAAAACTGCCTAAACTCTATGGGCCGTAGTCCTTTTTCATCAGATACAATTAAGGACTCAGTAGGGGTTGAAGTTGGAGGAGGGGCTCCGGTTGGTTTAAAGTTGATAAGTTTAAGGGATGGTTCACAAACCTGCTCTGCAAGTTCGTTATCCACGAAGACTGCTCCGGTTGGAAGGAAATTCATCAGAAGCCATAATAAAACTTATAGTAGGTCGAAGTCTAGAAAGATTTGGAATCAGGTTGTGAGAAATTGTAATAAGATGCAGGATTGTAAGGAAAAATCACGAGGGGTGTTCAATGGTGAGACAGGAAGAGCTTTAATTTCTAGAGGTTGTCTTTCTGATGTTCCCGAGGCTGCTGGTTTTTCGATAAAGGAATGGGACAGTTCTTGGGCGAGCAGACCATACAGGAGAATTAAAAGGTCTCTATTTAGGGAAGCTGTTGATCATGCTAGTGTTGATACTGTTTCCTCATCAGCTTTTCCTTTGTTGGTTGAGGAAGCAATTGCTACATGGGAAATTAGTAAGATGCTGGGGATATCTTTCAAGGAGGGGAAGGAAGCTTTTATACAAAAGATTGTTGAATTGGAGAAAGGGTTGTGTGGGGCTATTTGACCTGGAGATTTGTATGTGGGAGTTCTGGGTTCTGTTTGTTTGAGTATCATGACTAAGCTAAGTATATTGTCTTGGAACGTTAGGGGTTTGGGTAAAAAAGAGAAACATAGAGTGGTGCAAAAACTTGTTTCTGTGAAAAAACCGTCGTTTCTTTTTCTTCAAGAAACAAAACTCGAAAAATTACCAATGTCGTTTTTAAGGAGGAGTGGTTTGAATGGGTTGCAGGGGTCCGTTGAGTCTCCAGCAATAGGTTCATCTGGAGGTTTGTTAAGCTGTTGGGATGACAATTTTTTGAGATTGACGATCAGTTTATTCATAGGAGGTTTATTGCTGTTTTTGGAAGGATCAAGTCTAATCACCTTAGGTGTGGCTTCATTAACGTTTATGGCCCGTCTGTGGAAGAAGAGAAGGCTGCTTTTTTTGATGAACTGGGATTGTTTTTAAACGGGTTTAGTATTCCTTTGTGCGTGGGAGGGGATTTTAATGCCTATTTGAACGAAGAGGAGAAGTTAGGCAGAGGTCATAACAGGAATTCACTGGAAACTTTTAATCATTTTATTCAGCATACGGGACTTATTGATATGCCTCTGGTTGGGGGGAATTTCACGTGGAGCAGTTATCGGGATTTGCCGACGGTTGTAAGACTAGATAGGTTTCTGGTGAATTGTAATTTCTCAGCAGAATTTGCCGGTATCAACCAGTTTCTTTTGCCTAAATCTATCTCCGATCATAATGCAATTTTCCTGGAGAGTGGGGCAGATAATTGGGGTAAGAGACCCTTTAGGCTGTTCAATTATCTATTGTCTGAGGATGGTTTTGAGGAGATGGTTGTTGAGTCTGTTAAGCGGTTCAAAGAAGAGAATTCAGGAGTTGGAATTTTGAGTATGCTTAGGAATACAAAGTCTGCCATTAAGTGCTGGTCTGGAGATAGAAATCAATTTCCTCGATTGGACATCTCTATGTTAGAGGACAAAATTCATCAGATTGAAAAGGGGATGCAACATCATCCTCCTTCCAATGATGTTGTCATTTCGACAGAATTGAGACTGTTGAGAAATGAACTTTGGAGACTTCTTAGAATCGAAGAGCAAATTTGGGTTCAAAAGTCTAGAGAGAAGTGGGTCAAAGGTGGTGACCGTAATTCAAAGTTTTTTCACACATGCGCTTCCATTAGGAGGAGGCTGAACTCTATGTATGCTTTAAATGTTGATGGTGTCATCACCAAAGATCCAGGCCTTATCAAGTCTAGGGTCAGGGAGCATTTCTTTAAAGCTTTTAATTGTTGCTCAACAATGGAAGTGGAGGGTATTAACTTAGATTTCGCAAAAATTTCTCTGCAACAAAACCTATTGCTAGAGAAGGAGTTTACGGAAGATGAGATTTGGGGGACCATTAATTCTTGTGATAGTAATAAAGCCCCTGGGCCAGATGGGTTGAACATGGGTTTTTTTAAGACCTTCTGGCTTAGTTTGAAAGGCGATATATTGAAATTCTTCCACAACTTCTATTTGAGTAAGGAATGGGAGCATGGTATTAACCATTCCTTCTTAACTCTCATCCCGAAAGGTTCTAACGTTGGGAGCTTAGATGATTTCAGACCTATCTCACTTGTAGGTGGGATGTATAAGATCCTATCTAAGTGCCTTGCGAGAAGATTGAGATGTTGCATCAATGATATAATCAGTGATTCTCAATTTGCTTTCATTCCTGGGAGACAAATTTTGGATTGCTCTTTTATTGCTAATGAAGGAATTGATTTATGGAGGAAGAGAGGGTTGAAGGGTTGTGTATTTAAGGTAGACTTTAAAAAGGCTTATGATTCGGTAGATTGGGACATCTTATTTAAAGTTATGGCGAAGATGGGGTTCGGTTCTAAATGGTGTAGTTGGATCCGGATGTGTGTGTCAACTGCTTCGGTGTCAGTTTTAGTTAATGGGGTTCCTACTGATGAATTTCCTATGGCTAGAGGCCTCCGGCAGGGTTGTTCCCTGTCCCTCTGCTGTTTAA